TGTCAATTGGATGCATAGACATGGAAAGACTCCAAAGAGGACTACATATAGACTCAAATATTCTACATAGATGCAACAAAGAATTATAAACAGAATGTCTAACATCTATAAACTCTGTGTGTCCTGTGTCTATAGTGGAGGTGTCTGTGCCCGGCGTCTCATGTCTGTGAATGTGTCCGTGGTCTTCGTTAACGATGCTACTGTAAACACTGCAGCTAACCTTTGACCTTGGTGTTTTACCGTGCCCTCTTTCAGTAGCTGATCGGGCGTTATGAGAGCGTAAACACACATCCTGTCATTTATGAAGCCATTACACACAGGGTAGATATTTAATCACGACATAACCAAACACACCTCTATTAAAACTGCTTCTATTTACAGTGGCGAGTAAATAAATGACACACACCACACCATGGAGGAGACGGGGAGATAACATGGGAGAGTGCATCCTGTGTAGTGGTGAAAAGTACTGACATATTTGCATTATTTTCTATTAGAGGCCAAAGAACTGCAGAAATAAGATGAAAGTTATTTATGTTTCTCTGCCGATGAAACACAGCTACAGTATATACGGAGGTGCAATGTTACAAAGTACCTTTACTCTACTTTTTCACTTAAGTAATATGTTGACGTATTGTACTGTTGTAAGTATTTTTATTTTCTGTTATTTATACCTGTACTCAACTACATTTCAAAAAATATATACTCTTTCCCCAGTACTTTTATTTAACACACAATCATTATTTTAACTGTATTACACTGTACACATTTTAAGCAATATTGTTGTTTATCTTATTTATACTATACTGTATAAAGAAACTTAACCATTCATACCATTTTCAGCATTCATAAGTAAGGAAATCTAATTTGATTTTATTCTGTATTATATATATTTGTATTCTAGTCTAATTCAAATATAAGTCTGTTAACTAGTTTGCTCCCACTTGCTTTGGACAGTTGTGTCAGCAAATGGCAATTAAAGTAACATTTTAAATGGTCAATAAATTATAGTTAATATCAAGAAGACATATACACACACATACAGTACACACACTCTGCTGACTAAGGTTATTCAGCAGCTCTTCCTGTGGTACATTATTTAACTTCCTAACTAGGTCACTCACTGGAAAACACATATTGTTTCAAACAATAAAAATATGACGTATTTGAAATGCCTATTACTGTATGTATTACTCGTGGTGAAAACGCCTGAGTGTGTAAAAGTACCCAACACTCATTTATTTTGTACTTTATTAGTCAGTGGTTAGAACTCAAATAACTTTGTACAAAGCTGTGAACATATTATTAATTTATATATAATGGACTTTTTAGAAAACAGTTTCATACAGTAAACCTCCATGAAATACTGAGAAACTTTTATATATATATATATAATATATATATTATTTATATATTTTTTATATATATAAATGATATAAACGGATGTGTACCTATTGTTAAATATTGTTCTTATATATCCGACATATAAATCATCTTGAAATATAATAATATATAATAGAGTATGTGAGTTACTACAATATCTGCATTATATACGTAACATGAGGTTCATGTAAAGGTCAGGTCAGGAAACTCTCGCCATCTGTTTATCACCACATGTATTTCCACAAAGGGCTGGGAGTAAATGAGTGTGTTATGAGGTGAAATAAAGAAATCAGAGAGTGAATGAAAGACCAGCGATGTGTAACAGAAAGAACACAAGGATGAGGAGAAAAAACAAGGAGAAAAAAAATGTGCACACACTCTTTTTTTCATTCTACGTTAAATGTTCAACCCAATTAAGAGCAGAAGAAATAATAAAGTAACTGACATGTTACAGAGGGAGAATACACACGTGCGCACACACACACACACACCCTGGAAACAAAGCTTGATGCTAAAGAGATGTGATAGTCAGAATGCTCTCTGACTCCCTCTCTCTCTTTCTTTTGGCCCGACCCCCCACCACCAGCCTCTTATCTCCCTCACACACACACAAACACGCACACTCTTTCTTACAATACACGTTTTTTTGGTTGAAATATGCTCCTGAGTTTAGTTCTGTTTACGCTGCCCTTTCACATTAGGTCAATTTATTTTCTCTTCTACAAGTGTGTGTGTGTGTGTGTGTGTGTGTGTGTGTGTGTGTGTGTGTGTGTGTGTGTGTGTGTGTGTGTGTGTGTGTGTGTGTGTGTGTGTGTGTGTGTGTGTGTGTGTGTGTGTGTGTGTCTGTGTGTGTGAGTGAGTGTGAATGTGCAGCTCTAATTGTATTTGCATGTTCCACCTCATGGCTAACTTGCCCTTGCACCATGCACACACAGTAACGGACACAATATGGCAAAATAGATCCACTTTTTGTAAAAACAACATTTGTTTGTTTAAGCTGTTATATAACAATACATAATGGAACAATCCTTGTTTTCGTGCCCTTTTAACAAAGAAATGTACACTACAACTCTACAATTACCATATATATATATATATATATATATATATATATATATTATATATGTGTATATATATTTTTTGTGTCCATATATACGCCGGGATCCTGAGTCGAGGCTAATCCTGTTGCTGTGGCCGTGTGTCCTGGATCCTCTATCCTGAGTACTGGATCTGAGTCCTGGACTTGGAGTCGTGGCTGAACCTGTCACTGAGGACCTGCCTGACTCTCACCATACTACTTCCCTGGTGGCTCCCACAAGATTGCTGACATCCTCGTGGATTCATCTTCTTATTACAGACACATGCATTTCCAAACATTCGGTCTATATGCTGTAAAATGTATTATCTCTTCGATTTACACACGGCATCTATTGCACGTCTGTCCGTCCTGGGAGAGGGATCCCTCCTCTGTTGCTCTCCCTCAGGTTTCTCCCATGTTTCCCTTTAAACTGTGGGATTTTTCTCTGGAAGTGTTTCCTTGTGAGGGTCTAAGGACAGAGGGTGTCGTATTGTCATACTGATATTCTGTACAAACTGTGAAGTCCACTGAGACAAATGTAACATTTGTGATATTGGGCTATATAAATAAACATTGATTGATTGATTGATATATTTCCATGCCATATGACCTTGAAAAAAAGGTCATTTTTTTTGTTTTCAAAATGGTGCCTCCACGGTGAATAAATAATCAAAAAATGTAGACCATTTTTATAAATTGAAGTAAATGGTAGCCACGTCTAACAACATCAAAATGTTATAATACATATTTCCAAATATCACCCAACTCTTGCAGAATAATGCAAGCCTCATTTATCCGGTTGATGATCACGACTTCACTAACACATCAATTTAATATCTATTATCTAATACTCTTTTTGCTGTTGTTAAGCAAAGCCCACATGCACTTCAATGCATCAGAAGTCTTTGTTGACCGTGAGCATAAAACAAATCAAGAATTCAGGCAAAATTAGGAGGAGATTTTGATGTTCAAATAATATTACTTTACAACAAATCAATTTGCAACTTCTGGACTGTTTAATAAGGTACGTATTATTTTAATATGAGTAGTTATTGAGTTAAAGCCATAAAGTCTTAGTCTTATGCACAAAATAAGAAATAGATAAAAGTTTTAGTAAATCAAATAAATCTGTATCTGAAATCAAGTTTTTATATTGTTGCAATCTGAATTATCTGAGGACACCTGAGAGAATCCTGTGACACCTACAGGGGCCTCTACCCACAGGTTGGGAAACCGCTGAGAGAGAGAGAGAACAGGTGCACAACATGATTAAAGAGGAGAGGGGATGATGAACTGACTTAGCGCAGGTGTGCTAACACACACACACACACACACACACACACACACACACACACACACACACACACACACACACACACACACACACACACACACACACACACACACACACACAGCATGACACAAATCTGTCATTTCATGTTATGAAGAGAAGAGAAAGGAATCAACTAAACATCTCCTCTCCTTCTCTTCCTGCTGCCTCAAAACACAGACACACACACACACACACACACACACACACACACACACACACACACACACACACACACACACACACACACACACACACACACACACACACACACAATAAGATATTAGACTGTTTAAACTATTATGTAGAACACACACACAAACAAGGTCTCAGTTGGACTATTGTTCTGTGGATAGATGAAGAGAGACAGGAGGTGCACACACACACACACACACACACACACACACACACACACACACACACACACACACACACACACACTAACTCATATTCTCAGCTCACAAAACACACTCATATACACCCTTCTAGCACATCACATCACATCGCTGCAGAATGAGGGAAATGCCGATCCCATAATGCACTGCCTGAGGCCCCAAACTAGATCTCTGTGTGTGTGTGTGTGTGTGTGTGTGTGTGTGTGTGTGTGTGTGTGTGTGTGTGTGTGTGTTTGAATGAGTTGACCAACACACAGAAACAGAGAGGTAGAGTAAGTCTGCTTACATGGAATACAAATATTCTGCATACAGTATGATAAACTGATGATAATATTGTTATTTTAATATCAGCTTCTTTAAAATCATTAAATCTTTCTTTTTAATTTGTACAAAATACAAAACAAATAAAATGTATGGTATGAAAGCTTTGTTAATAATGCCTGCTATTCCTTCGTGGTATGTTCAAAGAAGCTTACATTTCTAAAATGTAATGAAAAATACAGAAAACTGAGGTTTGAAAGTTGTGGGTGAATAAAACCAACAACATGTTTTGTTTACCGCTTGATGCACTTGTTTTCTTCAATAATTGTGAATGCTGTGTATTTCTCTTTAATTTTTAACAATATAATATTATATATATGCACTATTAGTCATTTCCCAGCATTAGATTTAACACCAGTGTACACACAAACACACACAGACCAGCTGTTAGAAGGTGACCTCCTCCCACACACCTGAGCTTCTTTACATCAGACACAGGTGCAGTTGTGTTTATGATCTCCTCCCTCTCCTCCTCCTCCTCCTCATTTCTTACCTCCTCTTCCCTCTCCTCCTCCTCCTCCTCTTCCTCGGAGCCCTCGCTCTGGTCCTCATCCCCTTCCTCGCCCTCATCCTCCTCCTCCTCTTCGGGGAACTCCACGTCTGACTCCCCGGGGGCTATGGGGACGCTGATGGTGAGATTGGGGTTTGTCATGTAGCTGTCTTCCTCCGGAACAACGTACTTCTCCACATGACGGCCTGCAAGGACACATGGAGAGGTAAAAGTTAAATTAATGAATGAATTAAGAAACAGCCAGAGTTAATAATGTGTCAAAATGAATGGATGGTGAGTTCATGGATACTCAAGCATCACAAATTAGCAAAAATATACATTTGTAAACTAGCTGATTACTTGTGTATTTACGTGTAAATCTCAATTGATAAACAATGTGCAATCCCAACAGTTATACTGCAGATCTTAAATCACCAACTTAATCCAACAACCAGTTAGCTTAGCACAAAAGTTGAAAACTAAGGGGAACGGCTAGCATGGAGCGTTGTCGGAAGGAAACAAAATCCACCAACCAAAACCTATTTAACTTCTCATCTTAAGAGACATACTGTTTGCAAATGTCTTTCCTGTGTGCGTGTGTGCGTGCGTGTGTGTGTTACCTATGACGGCTCCATTGGCTTCGGTGTGGATGGTGCTTAGGCGTTTGAGCTTCATCATGGCTTTGGCTTCTTTCCTCTTCTGACGTCGACGCTTCAGGTTCCCGTTGAAAAAATCTATAACCTACATCACACAGATACGAAAATAAATTGCTGTGTGAGACGTTTGAACCACAGAGGTATATCGTAAGAGAAACAATAAGAGAAAAGTAGAAAGCAGTCATCCTCAGATCAGAGGGAAGGTGCCTCGATCCTTGGTCTTTTCAATCTATCAAGTCTATCCAAAGACATTTTCTTTGACCCCACTTTCTCTTTTTTTTACTAAATGAAGTTGCAAATGAAATGTTATAATTGTTTTACTTGGGACAACTAATTTAAACTGAGTCCGTCATTGAAGCCTGATTATTTTTCACATTTTTCAACTCTTTTTGAAATCATTGCATTTGGAGCAAGGGGAAAAAAAGACAAATATTTGATCAAACTTTAACTTAAAAATGTGTTTATTCCATCAGTACCTGTCTGCGGCACCAGGCCAGTCCTCTTGTGATCCGATGGATGGCAATGTGCAGATTGTTCATTTCTCCGTCATCGTCCGGAGCCGAAAGGTTATCAGAGCTGAAGCTGCTGAGGAGCAGAGCCAGGAAGAGGTTCAGCAGCTGCAGGGAGACGACAAGGGGAGGATAAAGTTTCGCTCTACGACAATAAATATATCTCCATTTTGTCTTATACTGTACTATATTTGTTAGTGTTTGTGAATAAACCGAATTGAGTTGAAGTGTGTAATGTTCAATGCTTGTTTAATTTAGACACATGCAAACATTTGGAGCAAAAAAAGATACAATTATTGATAATCCAGAAAAAAAAAATAGACACTGTTTCTGTTTTTCAACCCTCCATCTTCTTCTAGATTTTTCTCACCGCACGGTTCTCTGTCATTTAGCGCACACACACTTACACTCTGTGGTATCACAGTTTCCAGTGCAGGTTGATTACTCATTGTGCGATGAATAATGCCTGAGGCCTCTTGGTAACTGATCACTGAGTCTGAGAGCTGCTCTTAAACAGATTGGCTTCCCTTTAACCACAGCTGAGTGTGTGTGTGACTCTGTGTGTGTGTTTGTAAGAAGTGCTTAAAGGCACTTGAGGTGGCTGCAGACAAAGTCATGTTCGTTGTGTTTGCCCGGAATTACACAAACAACGAAGAAAGAAGAAGAAAAGGGAGAAGAAGATGGACCAAACCCTGAACAAATCTTTCCATCAAAACACTTGAATATCATACTGTTTACTTTCAAGCAAATCATTTGTTTACATAAAAAATGTGCTGCATGAACTACATTTTTTATGCCTTATAATGTTTCAATACTGTATAATTTACATATATAACAAATGACAAAAAGTGAGTTTAATGTTCTTTGAACGATATCAACATGCACAAAGAGACATTGCTTTTCAAATGTTTATTGGGGATTTACTTCCTATATCTGTTAAAAATGACAAAAACAACGCACAGAAAAACCACGCATCCCAGTTTCTGATTGTGTAAGAGGAAACCAGGCCAGTGGTCAATATCTGACACCAGGAAGCACCACCTGACCTGGGTGTGTGTCATAAAGCATTAGTGTATCAGATCTGTATTGATTACAAAACACTTATTTTTGTATACAGAACAATTTTTTAGAGTAGCATTATGTTTTTTCACTTGAAATGAACATGAAAGAAAATGTCATAATTGGAACTCTTTTATGAATGTTTGTGAATACATTTGTCAAATTTGCTCAACATTTTTGGAGGATATTTGTTCTGCAGAACACATATTATTATTTTATAGTAATATGCTGCTGTTGTATTTTTCCTGATTAATTTTATATTTTGGTATTATTTTTTTATTTTAAATCATTATTAAGTTTAAATTAGGGCCGGGACTTTAACGCGTTAATTAAGATTAATTAATTACACAAAAATTAACGCGTTAAAAAAATTAACGCATTTTAATCGCACTTATTTTTGCACCGCGGAACTTTTCTCACTGGATGAGTTTCAGGCGTACCGATTATACTGGAGCACCAACTAACGTTCATGACTTCAGACAACAACAAACCACAGTGAACAACAGTGGGATATGTTGTTTTAAAAAACGGACGGATGGAAGCGTCGATAAGAGCACGGTTGTGTGCAAATTATGCAAAAAGGAATTCGCATATCACCGCAGCACATCAAGCCTCAAGTATCACCTCAATGCAAAACATATAGCAGCTAGCGTGGAAGCTAGCGTGGACGTTAGCCTCTTTTATCGCGTTCACACCAAAAAGAGCCGGTACTAAAATTAGTTCATGAGAACCTTTTTACCCCCACGAAAGTCCCTGCTAGAGAGCAGAGAGCTGCTAGAGAGCAGGGACTTTCGTGCGGCTCTCTTGTGAGAAAATAGCTATATTTCTGATTGGCTGGGCGGATTGCAAACCACGCCCCGTAAAACTCCCAAAAAGTTTTGTGAAGCCGCCATTTTATTATCCTCGCATTAGCATTATTAGCATTAGCCCAGCACAGAAACGCAGAGAGACTAATTTATGGCAACACAAAATAAAACATGGGAGCGGTGGAGATGAGGAGGTGTCGGTGTTCTGGCGATTTACTCGGAAGGCTGCTGGGACTCCCAGCAGCTTCTACTGAAGCCAGTCCCCAACTCCGGGGACTTTGGGCGGCAGTATACGACGTGAAGTGGTTTGCGGCCTGCCAGTAAACCCAAAGCAGAAGAAGAAGAAGTGACGTCAGCGGCTTCATTTGCCTAATCCACCCCCAAATTCAAAGAGTTCTCATGAACCTTTGTGGGAAAAGTACTGCGGTGTGAATGCGCCTAATGGTATACTAAAATCCATGTGAAAAAAATTGCTTCTCACTGTTCTCAGGTCAAATATTTATATGTGATTAAAAATGCGATTAATTTCGATTAATTAATTACAAAGCCTCTAATTAATTAGATTAATTTTTTTAATCGAGTCCCGGCCCTAGTTTAAATATTAAAAAAGTATACATTTAAAACTTAAATTACAGTAAGAAAGAACCTGTCTGATGTTTTCAACGTATGTTTAGTTTTGGTGGAATATTTTCGAACTAAGTTCTGATATTTATACGTTTTCAAATGTTGGCAGTACTACAACAGTACAATTTGATGTATTGTATGCATGTGTGTGAGTGTGTGTGCGTGTGTGTGTGTGTATCTGTATTGCATATGACAGAGTAGAGAAGTGTTTGTGTTTGTGTGAACTGGTGGAAATGTGTGAAAAATAAACAAGTGTGAGTTTATGTCTATTTCCTTGTGTGTGCACGTGTGTGTTTTTGTTTATTGATCCCAGCCTGAGGTGTATGTGTTGTTTGTGTGACAGATCAGTATCCGGCTGTTTCACCATCCCCATAGTGCTGACATCTGATTGGCTGTGGGGCCAATAGATCAATGCTGCTGATTGGCTAACATGGCAACATGAGCAACGGCTCCCCTAACGACCTTCCTGCCTCCAATAATCCGATAACACACCACTGACACACAGAGGACTCCCCTTTCCTCTGTGTAACTTATTTAATATATATACATGAAAATATGTAATATATATACATATACAGTCCATTGAAAATACGCTCAAATAATAATCTTTAAACAAGATTTTATGTATTTTCTCGCCACTATGGGGCAGTGAAAAATGGTACTGATTTGAATAGATAGAAAATATGTATTTTGCTGGAAAATGTTATATGCCAATGTGTTAGTTTATCCAACAACAAAAAATATCTAACATCTTCCATAGATACTCAGGCTAGAATCAGACTAAAGTTCAACTCAGGTAGACGAGGATACTCCACGAAACAGCTGGTGCCCTGGAAACACGCTCAAACACACACACGTACACACGATGAATGAGCAGGAACATGATCTGTTTCTCCTCGTCACAACAAACCCCCTTGAGCAAAACTCCCTGGGATAAAAGCTTGAGGTAAGAAGGAGCGAGATGACATGAGGCATCAGGGGAGTGAAAGTGTAGAGTTCATGCTTAGATTCTTTGATGTTTAAGTGCATGAACAACATGAGCTACTTACAAATAAAAAGTACATATACTGAACTAGAAGAGTACACAATGGGATCAAATGTGAATGGACACATTGTTCTTCAAGCAAGCTGCTTAAGAAATAGCATACATAACTTAAAAATCAGTGTTCATACATTGTCATTTGAAAGTAGTAAATGACACAGATTATTGAGCTGATGTATTAGAAGGATAATTAAACATTTGACTACCAACCTCCTCTATACCTGTGTTTTTCCTCACATTTACTAAAAGGTTTCTGTGTCTATTGGGATGAACCATACCATAAATGAATGATCCATCCACCATTAATTCTAGAATTTATCCAATTAATCTTCAAATCGCTGATTTCTGGTTTCTAAAGAATCTGATGAGAAATCATAATGATTAAAGGTGTTGAATACACAGTGTTAGATGAAAGGAAGAAGAGTAATAAAAGAGGAAGATTGCGTGGCGGCAGGTGTGCTGCAGGTGAAGTGCTGACACACATTCAGCCGCTCTTTTGTCAAAAAGAGAAACCAAACATCTGCTCAACCGCAACAGTCTGCAGCTACGTGTACACACACCAGTGTTGTAGTCAAGTCACCAAGTCCCAAGTCCAAGTCACTCTCTAGTCACCACTCTTCGAGTCCGAGTCCAAGTCCGAGTCACCAAGGGAGAGTCGTAGTCGAGTCCGAGTCCAAGTCTGAGTCACCCAAGGAGTGTCCGAGTCGAGTCCGAGTCATCATTACCTGTGTTCGAGTCCGAGTCCAAGTCCGAGTCACCCAAGGAGTGTCCGAGTCGAGTTCGAGTCATCATTACCTATGTTCGAGTCCGAGTCCAAGTCACCTAAGAAGAGTCCGAGTCACAAGTCTTCATGTATTAATCTTCGTGGATATATGTGTTGAAATGTAGCTGCTCCTCCATTGCTTTTATCCTGTCATGTTATACTAATCTGTCTATTGAACTGCTGTGAAGCGAGTTTGGCTACAATTCTTGTAATAGGTGCTATACAAATATAAAGCTTATTACTAATATTAATATTATTATTGTAAATGACCTTTAATATGTCTAACTATATTTAAAATGAGTTACCTTTTAGAGGAGTGATTATATTTGTATGCCAATATTTTACTATGGTAAAGTTTTCGTTTTGGACTTTTATTTTGATAGTAATAAGATCGGGACTCTTATTTTGAAGGAACTTTTACCGGTTAAATCGGTTGACTGATAAAGATTTAGCCCCAGAAAGCACATGGCTACTTAGCATGCAAAATTACTCATTCTGCATGTTAAGTAGCCATGTGCTTTCGTGTTATCAGCTGAATCTTTATTTATTGTTTGTTTGTTTGTAGCCTTTATTTAACCAGGTGAAGCCCCTTGAGATCAAAAGATTTCTTTTTCAAGGGTGACCTGCAGGACATTAGTTACACATGTAACATAAAAACAACAGAACAACAATAAGGATGACATGCAACAAAATGTACAGTTTACAAACTCTATTTACAGAGACAGGTACCATGAGTATCAAACAGCATGTCACCCAGCTGAGTTTTAAAATGATGCAGGGGAACCAAAGTGCTCAGTTTTAAACATGTTTGCAG